GCAATCCACTCACCTCAGCCTCCCAAAGTGTGGGATTACAGGCTGAGTCACTGAGCCCGGTTTCTAATTTCTAAAGTATGTATTGGTCAAGCATTTCTATGTGTTTTTCCTCCATGTTACTTAAAATTTATAATGACTTTTTACTGATTAAGATTGGATACAATATGCATCAGAGGACTAGTATAAATTTTTTTACCACAATCATAAAACAGCAAAATGTGTTCATTTAAGACATTGTATAATGTTCAACATCAAATTCCATATCCATAGGCTTCATTGCATTAAACATATTTCAGCATTACATAAGAACATACAATTATCCCTCACTTAAACATTTGCATCATGTCATTTTTTTAATGGTGTCTTCAAAGAACTTGCGTTAATTTTCCAAAATAGCACACTTTTTCACAGTAACAAAAAATGCTGTATTTTGAGTCTATGCTGTAATTCCCCACGTCCCAAACCCTGTCACCAACCCATGACAGAGTGTGCCCAGCAATACTGCTGAGGATGCTTGCTCCCCACCCACGGTTTTCTTCATCCCTTTGTCTGTGAACTTATCCATGTGTGTAACTGATATGGATTGGAATATTGTTATGACCCTATATATAAACATGTGTCTAAAGAATAATAAAAATGTGGTTTGCACCACTATTAAAAGATGGGTCAATAAATTATTTGCAAGAGCACAGGGAAAAGTCAGTGAGGATGACAGAGATAGAGCCAAAGACAGAACAAATATTCTTTATTGCCATGTATGGTTCTAAGGAAGATACTTTTAGGATGGTCTTTGCTAGAGACTCAGCAATAAAATGTCTTACTATACAGCGTATTACACTATGGTAATATTCCTTCTGCATAAGACCTTCATACTTTAAGACATATTTGGGAGTAATAAATTAAGGGTATGAAGTGGGGGAAGGAGTATCAGTGTGCTTTATTTCTTAAAGTAATCATTCACTTATTTTCATTCTGCAGCACCATATAAAATTAGTGGAAGGTTTACTACAAAAGAGTATGTTATGGAATGTTCTTTTATTTGTCATATATTTTTAGCTAATTTATCAAAATTATTTTACATACATTTGGAAGAAGTATGATTATTCATTAATTCCACATACATATTCTTTATAGAAGATAAAGGGGACATTCTTCTTTGTCAAAGATTAAAGCATAATGCCATTTATTCTGTCTTTAAATGGCCTTGCTGTGCCTGTGATACTTTAGAATAGCTAAATGAGCAGCATATTTTCAAATTGGAAGTCTTAGAAAAAAAATGAATGTCTGTTCACGGCAATAGCATTGATTAAAGAAACCAATATGGAAAAAATTCCTATGGCTAAAAAAAAAAAAAAATTCTATTCTAATAGAATAGTCAGTGGACATTCTGCATTCAGAGATTTTTTTTGTGTGTTATTCCAACAATTAAATATCTCACATAATTTTTATTTTAAAATGGAAACATTCACCCTGGAAAAGTATTATTAGTGACTATAGATCAGTATTGTGATTCAAAGATTCTTGAGAACCTGGTTAAATACTTGGAAGTTTTCTCAGGAAAAAAGGCATATTTTGCATAGAATTGCAGTGGTATCCTGAAAACTCACCATGGAATCTAAATTAAGAACCTATTATGTAGATATAGTTCTAAGTTAATTCAATGAATAACACATCAGATTACATTGCCCATTAGTCAAAACTTAAAAATTATTATTCATTAGCCAAATTAGTCAATTAAATAACTCCTCCTCTCCCCCCCACCACATACACACCATTCTTGAGCACCCACTGGATATAATAAGGCCCTGGGCTAGGTAATACTCCAGCATGAGTTTCGGTGAGATGAACTTTTACTTCACAGTGTGTCACATCCCAATTCTTTCTAGTAGTGAGCAGCAGCATCCTATGTCCTATTACAAAGCTCACAAAGCCAGGCAATTCACATCTACATTCTCCATCTTCATCCTGGCCAGCAGTTGGGATTGAAGGCTGTTCCCTTGTGGTGAAACTCCTAGCAGGGCTGGTAGAAACTACTCTTGGCAAAGCTCACAAAGCACAGGCTTGCTCTTACTTTGTTGTGGTCATTCATTAGTAACCTAGTGATTGTCTTGGATTGACTATGGAAAGAAAATTCAAGACCTCAACAAAAACAGCTCAGTGAGGTAGATTTCTGTAAGTAGCTGGCCCTTTCAGACACTTTCCAGAATTATTTGTCCCTGGCTTCTTTTAAGGCTTGTTTTTAGGAACATAATTTCCAAAAATAAGTTAACCACATTCTACAGAATTGGTTTACATTAGTTTCTGGATACCTAGCTCATTCCAGCATGTAAGTTGAGAAACAGGAGCCTCCAGACTGTGTATATTGTTGAGGTCAGTGATCCCTCAAAGCACACTCAGGAATAAGCAAAACAAAGCCCCATATTTATACAAAGCCTATAGACACGACACAGCACCAATTGTTTGATGGTATTTGCTTAGGTCCATCAGGAAGCAGAGATGATGCCTTCTTGAGGGTCTCATACCACCACAGTGCCATTCCACTTAGGGAGTATATGCTGAACTGCCTGAAGCTTGAACTTTGCATTGGTGAATGCAATATGCTGACATCAAGACCTATATAAGTCTTACATGGGACCTATATAGGTAGGTCCGATCAGCCCACTGCATCCATTGGTGAATGCAATATGCTGACATCAAGACCTATATAGGTCTGACATGGGACCTATATAGGTAGGTCCGATCAGCCCACTTCTTGATGTCAGCATACAAATAGCTCCTCTATGGTACAGTAGGTCCCACTGAACTGTGGAAAATTATAGGCAGTTCATCAGGAGGCAACTGTGGCTACATAATTCCAAATTGTGCATAGAATCAGGTAATAAGCTTCTTTAGTTCCAGAAGAGATTGTTTCTTCTACCTAATCCACCCATTATTTTGGTTACCCAGGCCTGAGAGAGGCTGTAGGGCATGAAGTTTCTGAGAGGTGGCAGAGATGGCTGGAAGCACCATTCACTGGCCTAACTCCCCTTGGCCATCAAACCTGCACATACTTTGGAGAAAAAATTTTAGAGAATGTTCTTATTAATTTTCCCACCAATCCTCCTCTTTAACCTTCCTCCGAACAGGCCATGATTTCTCTAAAGTCATGGAGTTGAGATGAAGACAAAAATCAAAACAATTTCTAGGTTTGCTGGCATCTTTAAAATGACAGGGTCTATAGATAAGTGAAACAGAAGGCTTTTATATTTGGAACTCAAAGCATATATAATGTTAAGGTGTAATATGCTTTAAATTATTTTTTACTACAGTAGTTCCATTGATTGTTAACTTCCAATGTGCAGACCCCACTAACATCTGTATTTTATAGCTAAGCTTTTTGAATATTTTCCACTACTAGGTGAATTATATTAGTGTTGCATACTTTACTTGTACAGTTGGGAGGAAGTACTGTATATTCAACAATAACAACAAAATAATGACTTTATTTTGACTCTCCTTTTTTTTTAAGTATACATTTTAAAACTTAGTCCCTGACAACTGATATGAAATTGTCTTTGTGTAGATCAAGTCATTTGTCAGTGAAGGAAGAGGATGATTTGGAGAGCAGAGATACTCACACGATGTGAGCCAAGTTGAGTGGCTTTTCAGGCTGATCTGGGAACATAGGGTGCAACGGTTCACGGCTGGAAGCACAGCTCAGGGACTTGCTTAATGCATTGGTTAGCTTCTTAGCAGGTGATTTCTGGAGAGAAGAAAGGTAGAAGTGATAACAACGAATGTTTATGCAATATTTTATCAAATTATTTGCTTTTCATAACAGAGTAGAAGTGGTAACTAATGTTTATGTGGTATTTTATCAAATAATTTGCTTTTCATAATAGACATGCATTAATTCAATAATTCCTTTTGAATCCCTAATCTAAGTCTGGATGTTTGCTCAAGGCTGGGACTGGAGTGATAGAACAAGCTACCTCCTGTTGCTTCGTTTCAGCAAAAACTGTAATACATGGAAGTAGTCATTGTTCCTGGGGCACCTGAACTGGGTCTTAATGAATCAGCAGAAATCTTTCTGACCCAAAGTCAGGAGACTGGGAAGGTCATTTAAGATGATGGAAGCAACAACGGCAAAGGAAGAAGGAAGAAGAGAGCCCTTCTGGGAAAAAAAAAGCAGGAAGCAGATCACCAAAGACCTTGTATGGCACATCAAGGACTGCATCTTTTTCCCCAGGGCAGAAAGAGATAACAGGTCGTTTAAATCATAGGGGTGACAGCATCATATTTAATTCTAGAAGAGTTGCTCCCACTTAAGAATAGAAAATGGTTTGTGAGGGAACAGGAATGAAAGAGAGATGAGCAGAAGGTTTTGCAGATATCCAGATGCGAGGTGTTTCAGGTGTGGCTGATCACATTCAGTTAGGAGTAAAAATGAAACTTCAGTCTTTAGAATTTAAAATTCATGTTCTTTCCAGGGCATCCTACTACCTCTTTTCCATTTAGACTGTTGTGATGTTTATCTTAATGTCACACAGTCAAAATTATAGTTAAAAAAACAGCCTACCACATATAATAAAACTTTAACCAAATCATTGTTTTCCATAAGAAGCCACTTATAATTTTTTCTAGTTCTTTTACACCTGGAGTCCCTAATAGGTAATATAATGAAGTGACTTTTGTCCACATTATTTGAAAGCTAAGTAAGGGGCCAGGTGTGGTGACTCATGCTTATAATCCCAGCACTTTGGGAAGCTGAGGCAGGAGGATCACTTGACCCCAGGAATTCGAGACCAGCCTGGGTGACAGAGTGAAACTCTGTCTCTAAAAAACAAAAGGCAACAAGAAAGAAAGGTAAGCAATGAATGCATGTTTAAGAAGTCCCTCTTTGGCTTTTGCTAAGAGATGTCATTCTTAGAACACTTAAAACAACAGTAGCAACAGTTTCTCACCCCATTAACCAAAGGGCTCTTTGTCTTCTTGAGAAGTCTGATTTTGCTTTGTAGAGACGGTGCCCTGTCATATAATTTTAGAGTTCACAACTCCTAAGAAAGAGGCTTCTTATGTGGCTTTAGCATTTATATAAAACAACAAAAAATGATTAGTCTTCAAACACCAACCCTCCAGGATCTGGGACAGATGTTTGAAAACTGGAAATATATTGAAAATTAGAAAATAGGAAGTGTTAGCCTCCTGTCTTCTAGATTAAATTATAGTTCATGATCTGTGTTACTATATCTATCCTTAGCATATGGCGTGACAAACAGCAAGGGGTGGCAATTGAACTGGCATGAAGTTCTCAGTATATTCTGCCTTAGTGAAGAACTATCACTTATATTCAGAACTGGATTGGTGATGAACTACTAGCATATTTAAGTTGAATATCAATTCCCAACAATAATTTCTAGAAAAACATTCTGATTTAAAATGCTTATTCTGAAGACCTTCTTTTGTTTTTTTGCTTTCTTTTTTAGACTTTATTTTATTTTAAAGATGTGCGGTGTAAGTCAGGATTAAGTAATCAATGTGCTGGTGAAGTTTGGGCCTCCAACTGGTCCTCCCTCCCCCTGGTTTAGGATCAGGTACCCTTTATGTTGTTATGTGCTTCCCTCTCCTTCCTCCCTTCCCTGGCAGTGTCCCACGACTGCCAATCCCTTCCTTATGCTATTGTGAGTAATGTTCAGGTCCCGTTTATGAGTGAGAACACGTAGTATTCGGTTCTTTGCTTTTTTTTTTTTTTCCAAAGAACATGTTACTGTTTCAGTAAAGACTACAGGTTGAATTGAAATACATTACAATATAGAAAACCCCATAAAGAGGTTGCATTTTCTTGCGATAGAAAAAAATCTATTTCTACTCCAAGGGGGGCTTGAAGGGGCTGCCTGTATATCCCACAAAAACTAGTCTATGCATAGAGCAGTCCTGGAACAGATGCATAAGAACAACATTGCTGGAACTGATCTTTGAGTCTGACTAGGATAGAGGGCAGAAAAACCGTAAACCATTTGAACAGCAAGCCCACTGAAACAGTCAGATTGTCTCCCATAGACCCACTGCCTCGTGCTCCTGAAACACATCCATCACACACTCACATGCCACCTTTACCAAGTTGGTCATTTACACAATTCTTGAAAAGGTGATTTGCTAATATAACCACAATCTCCCCTACCCATGCTCTGCAAAAAAGCAAAATGGAACAGTATTAAGTCCACACTCTCATATACTTTTCTTAATATTCCAGTCATGCATGTGACTCCAGAATCTAAGAAAAAATGAAACTAACAATGATTTTTAAGTAATTCCCACAAAAACAAACCTGGGAAAAAATTTTAACTTACTGTGAATATGAGACTGTGTTCCAGAAGGTGCTTGCTGTTCAGTTGTTATTTAAATCAGCACTGAATTATCTATATTCCAAGAAGTAACATAGTTTGAGTCTTCCTATATTTTAAGTCTTAGGATGCTATACTGGGTTCAGAAGAATAAATAAGAGACTCCAGGATGGGAGGAAGGAGGAATGAATGTTAGAGTTGGGGTAGAGGGTACGTTTGCCCCTTAATTCTGTCACCATCCTTAGTGTTCCCTTTTATTCTGGACAGCACGCACACATCCAACTGTAAGTACTGCCTGGACCTCGCCTTACCCATGACGTGTACTCTTTCATTTGGTGCTGGTTGCTATGGGAACCACCGGCATGTCCCCTCCAGAAGCAGTCCTGACAGAGCTGGTAATTGTGACACTGCTGGCATCGGTAGCGAAATCCCATCATACTCTCACTGTGGCAGTAGGAACACTCAACCGGATGGAAGACTGAGGGGGAAGTAAGTGAAGGAAAAATAAAGCAAAAGCATGAGCTACAATAAAGAAAAGTACAGTCTAACCGAAACTGCATTTTCCTGCTGTGTGCCATGATTTCAGATAATAGTCGATGCTGGCTCAGAGAAGCATTTAGTTCACTTCTGGATTCTCACTACCCTTTCAAATGTGTTTGGGGGAGGAAGAAATGAAATGGGATGGAGAAGAGGTGTCCTTTTAACAACCCAAATCTCTGTAATGCCATTTGCTTTTTCTGCCCCTATCACTAACACTACAAGAATTTAAATTACTCAAATTGACTTGTTTTGACCCAGAACTGCTCTCTGTCTCCAGGAGACCAGCACAGCTCCCTGGGAGACCCAGAAACACAAGGGGTGGTTACATTGTTCAGTGGGAAGAAAGCAAATATTAGAGAAATGTAGAATGAGAGGAAGAAGAAAGAAAGAAAAAAGGGGGTAGAGTGGAAAAACTGGATGAGAGAATTGAGTTATATTTTAATAAATAGAGTGGTTGATGGTCTTATTTTTTCTCTTTATTTTATTATAGAGATGTGGGGTACAAGTCAGGATTAGGCACATTAGTAGTCTACGTGCAGGAGAAGTTTAGGCCTCCAACTGGTCCTCACTTCCCCTGGTTTAGGGTCAGGTACCCTTTGGGATCATCACATGCCTTCCCCCACCTTCCGTCCCCTGGCAGTGTCCTGCGCCTGCTAATCCCTCCCTTGTATCATTGAGATGAATGTTCAGGACCCACTTATAAGTGAGAACATGTGGAACTCAGTTCTTTGTTTCTGTGATAGATCACTAAGTATGATGGTCTCAAATCCATCCAGTTTGCTGCAAAGCCCATAATTTTGTCCCTTATGGCTGTGCAATACTCCATCATGTATATATACCACATTTTCTTTATCCAGTTCACTTTTGATGGTCAGGAGGGTTGGCTCCATTTTTGCTATTGTGAATAGTGCGGCAATAAATATGTGTGTGCAGGTATCTTTTTTGTAGAACGAAAAGGCACTCCACGTGTGTTCCCAGAAGGGGGATTGCTGGGTCATAAGGAAAGACATAGAATGGGCTTATTTAATGAGTGGAGTTGCCTTCACCCAATAAGCAATTTTTTTTTTCTTTTCTGAGGCAGGCGGAGAGGACCCAAATGATGTGTAAATTATCTGAAAACAGTTTTAATTCATAGAGCTGAAAGATACTTAACTTCCTTTGGCAGGAAATTTGAATTATAAGGCAGGCAAGGTAGATTGAGATTTGAAGTTAATAAGTGATCAAATCAAAGTAATTGTCTACTTGCTGTAAACCAAAGATACTAAAACAATAATAATGGTTCTTGTCCTTGGTGAAATCATTCTCTGGCTAACCAGCCAGGAAAAATAATGCACATAAGAATAAATGACGATAAAAAACAAAGTGTAAAAACAAAGACATAACCAGTTCTGGATGTGTTGTCTGCTCAACATGCATTGAGCCTCCCTTTTCTGGATTTTGGAAAAGACTAGGTTAGGGCCTAGATTCAGGGACAACCGTTCCAGGACTGTGCCTAAGAAATTCCTCTATAACAGGAAGTTTGAAGAGAGAAGGGATAATCAGAAAATGAGTAGTTCTAGAACAGTAAACCGTAAACAGTAACACAAACTCATCCTGCATAATAATACGAGCCTTGATTGCTCTTGACTTCTGAATATGGATATGAAGCATTCAAAAGAATCAAGCCTGTTAGTGAAGGCAAAGAAATTAGTAAATTCATTCTTTAAATCTTCTATAGAGCAGAACAGGATAAACTCCTCACTTTCAACTTAGTGAGATGAAAGGTTAGATGCTGAAAGTTCTGTATGAGAAATAAAATTAAGCTAATTTTAGCTCCAATGTCTACTAAAGAAGTATATAGAAATTAGGCAATATAGAGAGGCTTTAGTTTCTAATAACAGGTACAGAATAAATGATTTCTGTGATTGCAAAGAAACTACTGGATTCATTCTTCATGTTTTCTCTATGAGCAAAATAGGATAAATTCATAACTTTTAACAAAGTGTGCTAAACAAGGGCAGATCCTAAAAATTCTGAATGAAAATTTAAAATTAAGCCACTTTTAGCTCCAACATATATTAAATAAATATATAGAAGTTAAGTAACGTAGAGAGAATAAGCTCCAGTCTTTAATAACAGATATGGGATGAATTATTTTCTATTCAACAGTGGAAAACTTTCAGAGCTACATTAAACAATAAATAGAAACATCTAAAGATTAAATGGAGCCACTGAATTGTTCCATGTTTAAATTTCTTTAAATCTTTGTTTTTAAAAATTTTTTTATTATTTATTTATTTTGAGTTGGAGTCTCACTCTGTTGCCCAGGCTGGAGTGCAGTGGTATGCTCATGGCCACCACAGTCTTGACTTGCTGGGCTCAGGTGACCCTTCCCATCTCAGTCTTCCAAGTAGCTGGGACTATAGGCATGTGCCATAAGACCCGGATAATTTTTTCATTTATTGTAGAGACGAAGTCTCATCAAGTTGCCCAGGCTGGTTTCAAACTCCTGAGCTCAGTCAATCCTCTTGCTTCTGCCTCCCAAAGTGCTGGGATTACAGTTGTGAGCCACCATGCCCACTAAATCTTTAAATACAGTTCCAAACTGTATTTCATATGTAAAACTTGATCTGTCAAAGGGAGTTACTTGCTTTAAAAAAAATGCTACAAAAGTTACATTTGCTCTTATCTTTGATGTAAGGACAATTATCGAAAGCTCACAATCTGAGCAAATGGCTAAAAATTAGCAGGGTGCTATCATTTAATTTTTTGCCATCTCTCTCATCTATTCCTGACTGAGAGCCTGAGAAGGAATAGTCAGTGCCATGTATACCAATATTGGAAATTCAGACATAAAATAAATACAATAAATGACACATTCCTTATTGAGGTTCTTTTGTTGTTGTTGTACCCAGTCTTTTAACCCCACCTGACTTGTAGTTGCGAGGAACACAATGAGATTTAATACATTTTTAGAACTGATAGTCCTAAACTTACAGTGGCCCTTTAAAGCCTTACTGATTAGAGAGGTGGGTTAGTTCTATCCTAACACAAGTAAGAACCACTAAATAGACTTCCCTAAACAATAACAGAGCTCAATAAGCTCAGGTATACCTGAGGATCTAATTTCAATAATTTGAAAAACTGCCTTTGCTCATTTGTAGCTACTCACCATTTTCTACATTTGCCAGTCGATGCAGAAGAGGCAACCAGACCAGACACTGAGGAGGAGGATCTGACATGAGTGTGTCCAAGAAACCATTTAACGTGACTTTTTTCTGCATCAAAAATAAAATAAAATAAAATAAAAATACACACACACACAAAATTAGGACACTTAATTATCTTAATTTATCAGCTATGTAAATGTCATTTGAGACTAAAGAAACAAGGGACTCAACTCAATCTCTAATATATGAGAAAAACAGTACTTGCCAAGTGTGTTGTTAAACTAGTTCAGAATTGAAAACGTCAATTGCTTCTTACAACTAAGCATATATTGGACTGAATTATCTCCACGGAGGCTGAGTCAATGGTATTACCAGGAGAAAAACAGTTCCAAGAGCATCGCTTTTATATATGAGGGACAGTATAGAAATGACGAGGAAAAATGAAGAACTGAAATTCTCCAGGGGATTTTACTTAATAATGCATCATAGCTTATTCTATAATTCTCCTACCCATCAGTCTTCTAAATTTGTAGGACAACTTCCCTTTCAAGCTTCCTCAACTTCCTTAAGTACTAAATATTTAGTGGTTAACATGAACGCTTTTGTTATACAAGATTAGAAGGGAATCTTGTTAAGAGAGAACTACCTAAGTTAAAATAAAATTTCTTCTTTCCTTTTTAAATCAGTCTGCCTCTTTCTCATCATGGTCTTTTCTTTTGTAGAAAGGAAATGCATTATATCTATAAATTTCTTTCAAAATGACAAAATAGGATATAGTAATACATATACTGTAAATAGCATGAATAACAAAAATTACATGTTTATATTAAAATTATTCTTTTATTTGAAACTGTGAATTAGAATATCAAAATGGATGGGATCATTTTATTCTTTTCTCTTTTTAAAAAAGTTTTTTTGTTTTAAAGATGTGGGGTACAATTCAGGGTTAGGTATACAAATGTTCATTATGCAGGTGCCCTTGTTTATGTATTTATTTACTTATATATTAGAAGGGTCTTGCACTGTTGCCCAGGCTGGGCTGAATTCCTGGGCTTAAGTGATCCCTACACCTCAGCCTCCTGAGTAGCTGTTCTAGACAATTTATGAAGTATAAAAATAATCTATTCTTATTATTTTTATTTGTGTTACCTTTTTTTGTACTTCGACTGATCTTATCCACTTTTACTATTCTTCATACTGGTTAAAAATTACTCCTGGAAGTTTCCAAAAATATTCTTATAATTTGCATATGAAGATATTTCTCGTCATTATGGATATACAAAAATTATATAATGTAACAGTCTATAGATTGTTTCAAAAGAGACTTTGAGCATGGTGATATCATATATAATTATTTTAAAGTAATAGGTCCTATTAAGTTGAAAAACCCAAACAGTTCTATTATTCTGGCTAATTTTGAATGAAACATATTCTGAGGAATTAGAACATTTATCAAATATTCTATAATAGATTACCTAAAATCTAATATTTTAGAAATAAATACAATTGTTCTTGTTTCTGTGATTGAGTGAAGTAATGTAACACGCAGTTACATTTCTTTGTGTTGAATCATCTGCACATTTGTAGATATGAACTGACAATGCAAAAACAATAACAAAACAAGAACAAGAACATGAGAGCAGCATTAAAAGATTGGAATTAGAGCTAGAAGAACAGAGTTAAATACTCAGCCCCTCTGCATTCACTCTCTATGAACTTTATATTGTTAAAAATGAATAATACAGTATTTTTCTTGTTAGCTCACAGGCTTGTTGCAAGGCATAAATCAGACAATTCCCTCTGTGAACCATAAAGCTCTGTACAAATATGAGAAGCCATACATTTAGAATGCCATAAGAAGCGTTGGTGAGTACTAAAATAGAAAAAAAATTAGTTGGCTGGGCACAATAGCCCTTGCTTATAATTACAACACTTTGAGAGGCTGAGATGGGAGGATTGCTTGAGGCCAGGAATTGAAGAATAGCCTGGGCAACATAGCGAGACCTGTATCTACAAAACAAACAAACGAAAACAAGTTAATAGATTTATGCTTTGAAATCACTGATACTGTTTTAAAAATTATTTCAGTAAAAAGAAAAGAGTCACTTTAAAATCAGTAAAACTCAGTATAGTGAGCATTGGTTGTTTGCAGTATCTGGGGCAGGGATGCAACTTTTTTAAAGATAATTAAGACAGGGGGCTTCAGTCTTTTGAGAAAAGCTTCTTGGAGAAAGTGACACTTGGGCAAGAAAAAGGAGTTGGTAGAAGAAATGGAGCGGACTCTCTAGAGAGAACACGTGCAAAAGAAATCTGAGGGTATGAGAAGGGAAGGAGAGAGAGAGCCCGTAGGGGTAGAGAGAGATGAGAGAGTGTTACAAGAAAGTGACACTTGGGCAAGAAAAAGGAGTTGGTAGAAGAAATGGAGAGGACTCTCTAGAGAGAACACGTGCAAAAGAAATCTGAGGGTATGAGAAGGGAAGGAGAGAGAGAGCCCGTAGGGGTAGAGAGAGATGAGGTGAAGAAGGCACAAGAATGCAATCCCAGGGAGGGCGCAGGCAGTGAAGTCAGCTAAAGCAGACAGCAGCAGGTCCCAGGTGGGCCTTGTGGGGGAGAGATTAGGAGAGAGGACGCCTCCTTTATTGTCTCTCTGAATATTTATCCCGTTGCACTCCATGCATTTTGAGGATCTCCTAATATGCATTTTTATGATGAGGTTCTGGAAGAGTTTGAAATGCAATGAGGCACAATCCCCAGGCAATAGGATGATCTGAAAAACATTCAGAAAGTGAAAGCAGTCGGATCTGATGATTTACGAAAAACTCTGGGTTAAGAAGGAGTATAGAAGGAGGCTCAGGTGGATGGATCCGTTCTGATGTCACCAACTCCAGAGGGAAATAGAGGATCATGTTCTAGTTGGGGACAGAGATAAGGAGAAATGCCTAGGAGATCCTAGGCGAGTGGGCATGGGGGCATGGGGAGGGTCAGAAAGGCTCCCTGGGTAAGGTGGCAGGAGAACAGAGGCAGCATTTAATGTAGCAAACCATCCTTCTTTATTAATTGCATGGATACATTTATGGGTCTACAAAAATTCATGACCTAAGACATGCCTAATGCAGTTCTGACCTCCCAGGTCATCAAGGAAACAGATTGATGAAGTGTACTAGCTGGACAGTTAATGTAGGTTTCTAGGGGCTACTATATACCACGTTCTTACATAAGGGATCCTTTAGAGGACACATTTGATTAGTTTGAATTTTTAAAAAAATTGTAAACAAATCTTCAATGTATGGATTTATAAATTACCACTGTGCTGTGCAGGAGAATGGACATGTAGGTGTTCTGTGTGGCTTTAAAGGTGGAAGTATGGAGAGCCCCTCAAGCCGAGCTGCTTCCCTGGGCTAACCTGCGCCATGCTCAGTTAAAACACACTATTCTGAATACCAAATGTATCACACTGGGGATGATTTAGGAAGCTGTGTTCGCCATATCTTGAACCTCCCAGACCTCAAGGTGATGGGATTCCTTTTTGGACTCCTTTGTTAAACATTGATAAGTTTGCTGTTGGGTCAAACATGTATTTCACGTGAGGCTAAGGGACAATTCAGCCCTTCTGAGAGTGCAATAATAGTATTAATAATGATATTGAGGGTGCAGGGGAGTTTTAAGAATTAAATTAGACAATGAAAATAAAGAACTTAACATGGTGCCCGTCTCATGGTCGGTAAATACCATCTACCGTTATTAACCAAGTGTCTTGGGTTTAGTTACCAGTTCAGAGGTCATTCATCAGAGGCTGGAAGATACACTAACAGGTTGTTATCACATAGAAAAATGTGTTTATCTGTGACATGGAGTGGCATCTAGAAGGGGAGCAGTCACTGTCTGAGAGATACTTGCTTAAACACATTTTTCTCCCCTACCTGTTGGGAGAAACAGGATCTAGCTGACTGTTCTGTGTAACCAAATGAAGGACCTTCAAAAACTGCCGTGGGAAGTTTGAGAACTTCCCGAAGGAACTGGTCGTATCGTCCATAAACCATCACCCCACTGGAGTCAGAAATCATTGAGAAAATATCTGATGGAAAGAAAAGGAAAGATATTTAATCATCACATGAACATTCTCCACTGTTTTTGTTCAACGTATCTGCTGCAAATATAAAAAATGTTGCAGAATATATATAATATGTATTTTTAGTTTTATTATAAAGATGGGAGTACAAGTCAGGATCAGGTGCATAAGTAATGCATGTGCAGGTGAAGTTTGGGCCTCCAACTGGTTTGGTCCTCATTTCCCCTGGTTTAGGACCAGGTACCCTTAGTGACAATAATATAAAAGCTAACTTTTATGTTGAAATACTCCTGGCATGCTGTTTTTTCTGATGTCTTTTTGTAGAGGATTCTGACATATATCATTAACAAGCAATTTGGGTAAAATTAGCATATTTTGATTAGACCAAAGCCACCATGTTTGTTTTGAGGTCAATTATCAACTCATTTGTAACTCAGAAATTGTGAGAAATATGCTGCCCTCATTTGCAACACACAATGAGAATTTTACTACAAAGTTGGGGTGTTTGTATGTATCTACTCATCTAGCTAGCAATTTAGGTTTATATTATCACTAATACTTTTGGATTTTGGTTTAAGATACTTGAAAAATGAAAGAGAATGGGTATAAAGATGTAATGAAAAACACTTGATTAACTTTCTACAGAGGCAGAAAACTTGGTGTAAACCATAGTGTTCTGGGTAGAAGACACCTGAAGGGTCTTTTGACTGTAGTGAAGAGGAAGTGTGGCCTTGTGAATGATCGGTGAGGTAAAGTCAGGGTCCTGGGTTATTCTCCAAAGAGCCTGTGGCTTCACTGAACCTTTGTTCTTCAGTTTCTGTCACTATGTGCACTTAATGAATATTAATGGCATAATTTCTCAAGGTACTTTATAATTCCTCTGCAGAAATCACTAGTGAATGAAAGAATTTGCTATTATATAGTTTATCACCATGCTAACTAGATTGTCACTAGGCCAGCACAGCTGCTGGGATAAACTATTGTGAATGTGCTGCCTCCATTCATTTTGGGCTTAATTTTTCAAGGTCAAAATGTAATCTGGGAAACATTGTTTTTACACCAAAGTCAAATGTTAAGAATACCACAGGCTTTATTGGATTATGTTTTGAGCATGTGACTGTCTTTCATTTTCATTAAATATTCTAATTATACAGGATTTCTACTAGGTTGTAGTTTCTTAATCATGAGGCTATAGAAATTCCATCTGAACAAAAAAATTTAATGCTATTCTCATCTACCTTCACAATATTGTTTACTTAGGGAATTTTATCTCTTATGTTCCATTATAAATAGTAAACATGCAAACAAACAAACAAAAGAGAAATTGCCAACAGCATAAAACTGTCAAGTAATTCCAAATATAGAAATCCAAGAATTCCAATAGAAAGGGAGAGAAATAAACTCAGGAAGAGTAAATTGACTTCTTTTTTTTTTTTTTTTGAGAGTTGTTTATTCTGGGGCACATTGGTTGGTTTATAACAGAGTCATCAATTATCTTCTGGCCTCTGATTTTTCTAGACCAGGGAAAGTGTTGGAAAGCAGACTAGTCCTTCCAAATCTCCCACTGAAAGAATTTAAACATGCTCCATAACTAGGGCAAAAGCAGAAGGAGTACTAATAACCTGAAACTAATATTAAACTTACCTGTGTTGATGAAAGTCTTCTAAGACCAGGCAAAATAGGACTAGATCACTGGGACTAAAGGGAAATGGCTGTTAATGGCTACTCAACTTTTTAAAAAGAAATGAAAAAACTCTGAGGAAGCCATCAAAATGATATGTGTTTATACCTTAGTTTTAGGCTGTGTATACACACATACACATACACATACACATACATAATATGCTTGTAATGTGCAGTACGTGTGTATATGTATACACATATATGAAATAGAGGGCAATTTCAAGGATTAACCTAGTTAATGGCAGTAAAGCACTCAGATTAGTGCTTGGCACATAAGACTCAGTATAGAAATGTAGCCACTTATACTATTAGCTTAATTTTTATTTTTCATTTTTTTGAGTCCAGGTCTTACACTGTGTCCCAGGCTGGAATGCAGTGGCATGATCATGGCTCACCACAGTCTCAGTCCTGGGTTTAAGCAAGCCTTCTGCTTCAGCCTCCCAAGTAGCTGGGACTATAGGTATGCACCACCACACCTGGCTAGTTAAAAACATTTTTTTTTTGTAGAGATGAGGTCTTGCTATGTTGCCCAGATTGGTCTTGAACTCTTGGTCTTGAACTCCAAACAATCCTCTTGCCTCTGCCTCCCAAAGTGCTGGGATTACAGGCGTGAGCCACCATACCCAGCCCTATTTTTTCTATTAATTTTATATTGCATTATTCTGTCACCTATTTCATATGTTTAGGCTTTACATTCCAATGGGATTGTTCAGTAGTAAGGTTCCAGATCATACTCCAAACCACATTTGTTATTTTGTATAGCACCATGCAATGATAAATACTTTAGAATAATTTACATTAATCGATTCATTCAACTAAAATCAACTAAAATACCAAATGTGTGAAACTGCGTTAAGCAATGAATATACAGAAAAACCAGAATGTAGTTCTTGCCCTCTGGGAGGGCCCAGTCAATTGACGGTGACAGAAAAGTGTTGAGATAGTGCATCACAGAGCATCACACACTGTCACATCATGGTGTGGATACCAGAAATGCAGGGTGTATAGGACGCAGCAGGAGTGCAGATGTTTCCCAGAGGCAACAGTGGGCCAGGGAAGAGGTCTTACAGAGGGGATTCAAGGGACAACTAGGGGCTGGCCAGGTACAGATGAGGGCAGTGGGTTTTAGGAAACAGGATCAGGATGTGCACAGGCAGGGAGATGAGAGCCAGCACGATGTACTTGATGCACTCAAGGATCTTCAAGGAGGTCACTGGGGCAGGGGTCTCGGGGCACACAAGGGCATGGTGGGAGATGAGGCTGAGATATGAAGAGTTTTGAAGGTATTCATTCCTTCATTTCTTCATTTATTACTTTTTTATTTAAATTTTTTTCTTTTCATTTTTTTTTAGTTGACATAAAATAATTGTACATGTTTATGGGATACAGGCTGACATTTTGATACACGTGTTCAATGTGTAATGATCATATCGGGGTAAGTAGCATATCTATCACCTCAAACTTTTGTCATTTGTGTTGGGAATATTCTAAATCCTCTCTTTTAGGTGGTGGAAAATATATAGAAATCACTTGTAACTATTGTCATCCTACAGTGCTATAGGACACAAGGATTTACTCCTCCTATCTAGCTGTAATTTTGTACCAGTTGTCTAATCTCTCCCTATCCTCCCCTTCCCCTCCCTTTCCCAACCTTTAATAACCACAATTCTACTCTTTACTACTATGAGCTCATTTTTTTTTAGTTCCCATATATGAGTGAGAACATGCAGTATTTATCTTTCGGTGCCTGACTTGTTTCACTTCACATAATATCCTCCAGGCTCATCAATGTTGCCTCAAATGACTGGATTTCATTCTTTTTTTATGGCCAAATTCTACTGAGGAGTTTAGATTGTGTCCAGCAGCTGTTGAGGGAGAAACTGAAGGATTTAAAGCAGGCCAACGCATTAGAAACGTTATCCTGGGGGCAGGCGTAGAGGCATAACTACCCAGCCCAGTAATAGAAACTCAATAAATACACGGTATTTGCTGTAATGCTAGTCTTTTAAACAAAACAAGTTCTCCCCAAAGCTTTGGAAGAGCACATGGCATACCAGGCTTAGAGCACTGGATTTAGCATTTCTTAAGATCCTTAGAACTATCCAGGAGCCCCGAGGCAGAAGTATAAACAAGTGTTCCAACCCATCAAAACAACAGTTTCTAACTGGGCCAAGAACAACTGGACAGAAAAGTAATATATTAGGTCAGTTTATGTCTAGGTTGCTATGGCACACACCTGCAGGGGGCACGCTTCATCTCCTAGGCTGTGTCCATGAATCTCTCTGGAGTTACATAATAAACACCTTGTACACCAGTTGATTACTTGATTACTGGAAAGTGTTTTGCAACATGGGGTTGTTGTCTCTTTTAATGCATCTTAAAGCATGAAAAAAATCAGTTTCAAATTTTCTGTTGCTTTCTCATTTTTGTTTGGTTTTTAATGATTTCCAATTTATTTTCAGCCAAATATTCTTGTTCTGTGCGTTCCAACAATATAGGCCTAGTTGGAACAAACTAAGTATCCTTTATCCCTATGCACAAAAATAGAAAAATTGCCAAACAAGCACAGCTGGCGTATTGGCTTACAGTGAATTAAAAAAAATTAAAAGATGGGAAAATAAAACACTCAACCCCCAATCAATTCCATATTCCTTCATTTTACTTTTTCTTATTATAGAAGTAATGTGGAAAGTGATGACTTTCCTGGCTTTATTATTAAAATGCAAGCCAGTAAAACAAGATATGTAGAAACACCCACAATTCCACTCACCAAGGAGCAGCCACTGCTCTCTGTGGGTAGACTTTTGCAGGTAGATTTGCCCGTATTTGCTCATTCAGTCAATAATTATCATAGAAAACAGAAATACAAGTGACTAAGGATATTCATTTTTGACCAACTAACATTCTGGAGAGATTCTTGCAACCAAACTGCTTTTAGCTAAATTGTTTTGGGTCAAATGGTTTTCAACCAAGTTACCCAGAAACCACCAAAACCATTTTCCTGTGGTTAAATATACAAAGAGTGACTCCTCAGTAGGAGAACTAGGAACACATAAGGTCATGATTCAGGCTCACTGCTCTCGAAGTGGGGTATGGTATATATCAGGGTCACACTATCTGTTCTTCTACAGAATTTGTGACATTGTGAAGATTGCTTCTGCAGACAGGAGGACTTAGTTTACTCCAAGGGGATTCATGTATTTTGCTTCCTTCATTGCACTGAAGACTGACTTTGGCCACCAGAGAGCATGCATGCTTCGCTCCCTGATTGTGCTTTTTGGAGGGTGATGGGATGGTGTGAGAAGAAAACACCATGACAGTTACAATGTTTGCTTCGAATTCTTGGACCTGTGGGAGAACTGCAAGAGTTTTGACAATAGGTAAAGATCTGCTCTGACAGTTATACCTCGAGCTTTGCAACTGTGCTGCTATTGCAAGGTGCTTACCTAACAGACAATCCCTACATCTGTGTTGGTCCCAAATTTGTTCCTGAGCTGAGGGAAAGGAGTGGCCCTCCCTAGTCCATGACCATTGCTATCACTCCAGGAACATTGTGCTTTTCCTCTTACCAGTATCTGGCTTAATAATTGGTCTGAGATGCTGCTCTGGGCAAAGACACTTAAGGGCTGGGGCCACTGGAGTGAGATGAGTGGCTGTATCTTCTCCTACCCACAGGAGCAGGATGAAATCTGATGAAATCAGAGCAAGAAGGAGCGCAAACACCTATGTCCTTGAGGACTCCGAATTAACATGTGAAACTGATATGTTAAAGGCTCAGAGGAACTCTGAACTGCAGAAATTGAATTTTATCAGTTTTCCTCAAACTTACTTTAATATGAGAGCTTTTTACCCGGGTACCTATTAATATATTATTGAATGTGTTTTTGGAAATGTTTCTCAAAAAAATTTTATTTTTATGTCCTTGTCACAAGTGGCCAATTGTGACATGGGGTCAGCAGACAAGGTTTTCAGGACTGTCTTCCTCTGCCTTGGTTCATTTTGCCAACGTTTCTCTTCCTGGTTTAACCCTGACAGAAATGCCTCCTGGATTATTCTGAAGCTATTTTTTGTAAAGGCCACTGGTTTCAGCACCTTGTAATTTAGCTATTATCTCTCAAACAAGTACTAAGGTAGATAGCTTTGAGTTTTCTACATCTTTCAGGCTAACTCAAGAGAAACGACATGGATTTTCCTGAGGTCTGGTTGGGCTTCTCTGGATCCTGGCTGCATTTGGCTGTTCTATCACAGGAAGTCCCTGGAAGTGAGGGAAGCTGTGGGTCACCCGGGACTTTGCTGTCCCTTTTAATTACTTACTGGTCCAGTGAAATAACTCTTCCCTGGAGCATGTCTGTGGAAATTTCATAGGAACAAAGGGACTTTTTTCTTTTCTTTTCTTTTCTGTGTCTTCCTCCATTCTTTCTCTCTCGGTGGATCAAGAGGCAAGAGATCTGACCTAGAAGCTGACAGACAGCAAGGGAGACTCAGGCTGGGAGTCTCAGATAGCTGCAGCTAGGAGTGACTCTAGAAGTATCAGAGAGAATCCCCAAATTTGAGATATAGAAGGAGGCTGGAGAGTAAAGAAGTGAGGTAACTTCCATAGGAAGTTATGAATTAGTCACATGGTGGGCTTGCAACCTGGAACTCCCGATTCCCTTGACAGTGCCCTTTCTAACATAGCTGTTATAATTCAAACTCACATTATTTAGGGGAAAGTATAAGGTTAACTGAAAAATGTTCTTTTTGTGTTTTGGGTTTTTTTTTTTTTGAGTTATAGTCTCACTCTGTCACCCAGGCTGGAGTGCAGTGGCATGCTCACGGCTACCCCAGCATCGACCTGCTGGGCTCAGGCGATCCTTCTGCCTCTGCCTTTCAAACAGCCAAAACTACAGGTGCATGCTACTCCCTCCCCTCCACCCCCGGCTAATTTTTTCATTTATTGTAGAGATCAGGTCTCGCCAAGTTGCCCAGGCTGTTCTTGAACCAGTGAGTTCAGGCAATACCCTCCCTCGGCTTCCCAAAGTGCTGGGTTTACAGGCTTGAGCCACCGCACCTGGCCAAAAAATGTTATTTTAAACAGCAGCATCAGCATCATTTGAAACTAGTTGGAGATAAATATTATTGTCCCCCCCCGAGCCTTACTGAGTCAAAAATTCTAGGGGTGGGATCCAGAAATCAACGTTTAAAAAAAAACTTCTCCAGGTGATTCTGATGCACAAAAAAATTGAGAATCATTGGTGTAGAAAGAAAAAGAAAAGTCAGGGTTCAAATCCTGGTGCCATCTTGGCTATGTGATTTATTTTAACTCTCTGAGTCTCAGTTCCTTTACCTAAAACACATAATCAAGCATGTGTTATTGGTTTAAAAACTACCATATTTAGAGACAAAATATACATAAAGGCCCACAATCACTTAATGTGCTTTAGTTATTATGTTTTTATTGGCATCTAGCTCATTCTGTCTATCCTGTCTCTATGCAACTACTGTACCTCTTTTCTGGCACCATTTGTTTTGGAGCATTGGGGGTTCTCAGTGATTGGAGTGGTACTGGCTATTCAATGAGGAAATGTGGCAGGATCTTTGGTTTTAGAATACCTAACGGGAAGGTTGCCAAATATGGCCTTGTGTCCCTATGATGATAGACTGCCTGTAAGGTTGCATAGTACAATGAACTAGAAAGAGTGTTTATCTTACTTTAATATCAAAAAGAGTCTGGTTGGTGATACTCAACAGATTATAATTAGAGAAAAACATTCATTTCATTAATATTTATCTAATATGAAAATATCTCTTTGACATAATCCCAAGATCAAAGAAGACTGTATTTTAAATAATTCCTGCAGAATGCAGAAAGATACAAACAGGCAGGGGGACATAGTAGTAATAGGGGAGACAGAAACATTGTACTTAGATGGAATAAGCGAAGACAGACACAAGGAAAAATAACTTACATCTTAATTTGTCCATGATCTTCCCTCCACACAAGGTAGCTAAAGCCATTTTGACAGCAAATACTGAAATTTTTCCATGGCCTTCACTGTTTAATGACAATAAAAAAAAAAAAGCATGATGTCATTTGGAACACTTCCAATAACAAGGTTTGACATTTTCTATTCTGTAGAAATCACAGGATACATAGCTGCATGCACTATATGAACACATCTATTTTAGAAAATGTTATGAATACAATTCAATGCAAATGTCTGAAAGACTGTTTATTCAATATTTTCTTTTTTTGAGAGACATCAGAATCTTCTAGTTTATTCTCTGTATGTGTTGCTTAAAACATTGGCTGGTAGCCGGAGAACATTCATTTTGAGGTTCATAAAATAATTTTGTGTACAATAATTCCATAGTCTATAATTTATTTAAACAAAGCTTCAGAAACGTCACTTTTTTGTCAGGGAATTCCTGAATTTGAGGTTAGGCTAATTATGGGGACTTTGTTATCACACATTTTTTCCAACCATTATTTCCTACCCACAAGCCAATGTGTTTATGTGATGTTTTCTCTTTTCAAAACAAGTTGGTATTTTATTTTTTTTTATTTTTATTTTTTTCTTAATTTTTTTTTGAATCAGAGTCTCACTCTGTCGCCAGAATGGAGTGCAGTGGCTGCTCCCGGCCACCGCAGCCTCGACCTGCTGGGCTCCGGCGATCCTTCCGCCTCAGCCTTCCAAGTAGCCAGAATTACAGGCATGCGCTACCACGCCCAGCTGATTTTTTGATTTATTGTAGAGATGAGGTCTTGCTGCCCAGGCGGGTCTTGAACCCGCGGGCTTAGGCAATCCACTCACTTCAGCCTCCCAAAGGTGCGGGATTACAGGCTGAGCCACCGAGCCCGGCTCAAGTTGGTATTTTAAAGGAGTGAAAGTGAAAGCTCTGTTTGAATAGTCCTCTTGCTACTAAAATGACACAGGTGCCGTCAAATCTTCATTGATTCAGGAGGTACAACACACCTGTCCTTCACAAAATGTGATAAAAAGGGCATCTTGTCAGAAGTATAATGTTTCAGTTAAATGATTTTCCTGCTGAAAGAAACTGTTTATTCTTATATCCTTGGAATCAGAGAGCATGTTATATTAGCAATTCATTTCTTTGAGAGCTACTCTTAAGAGTGATCAAAAAATGAATTTAAAATAATAATGTGACTGAAAGGTAAGTAGAGTCTGCCTTGGCAAGCCTATAGAATATAGAATAAATCGTTTATATGAGTAAAATCCACATACCTGATATATTAGAAGAATAAGCTATAATAAATAATTGTGTTTCTGTTCCTTACTAGACTTCAGAGAGGGGTCATTTGTTATCTTTGATACTGTCATTCTTAGCATAGTACCAGAAATACAGTTGGACAGAATGCAAACTGACTGAATCCCATGCTAGTGATGCTTCCATTTAGATATCTAAGCCTAAGCACCAGTCTTATGGGATCATTTATTGTGAATCTTAAATACCTTCTGCCAAATCGAGTATATATAAAATAGAATTCACTATCTTTGTAGAGGTCTTCCAAAATACTCAGATTAAACCTAAAACTAACCTGCTCTTCCTCCGTTGGTCCCTCTTCTGGGACTTTAGAACCACCACGTCCCTAGTTATACAAAAATGAATCCTGGGGTGAGGGGTCACCCTTGATTTCTTGCTCTTCGAACAAATGTTTGAGAGATTCCAATAGACCTCTTAACTGTATGTTGAATTCATTCCCTTCTTTCCATTCCCACCGTCGTGGTTCCCATCTGCTCTTTTTTAAAACATTGTAATAAATTCTGAAGTGATCTCTCTGTTTTTACACTCACAGCACAAATTTGACTGTATTATTTCATTGTTTAAAAACTCCCAGTCTCTGAGGTGAGTGGATTGCCTGAGCCCATGGGTTCGAGACCCGCCTGGGCAACTTGGCGAGACCTCATTTCTACAATAAATCAAAAAATTAGCCGGGCGTGGTAGCACGCGCCTGTAGTTCCAGTTACTTGGAAGGCTGAGGCGGAAGGATCGCTGGAGCCCAGCAGGTCGAGACTGCAGTGGCCGGGAGCACCCACTGCACTCCAGTCTGGGCAACAGAGTGAGACTCCAACTCAAAAACAAAACAAAACAAAAAAAAACTCCCAGTCTCTTTTTGTCCACAGGATAGAGTTCTTTTTCTCATGGCATACATAGAAGTCTCTTCTAGTCTCATCTGCTACCATTTAGTTCTCTTGTTGTACCACACACCATGGTCACACTATTCAATGCCTCCTGGCCCCTGCCCTTCTCACCATTGTCTGTTCATGACTCTCACACACATTTGTCAAGACATCTCTTAATATCATCATTCACCCTGCCCTGAAAACAACTTTTCTCTTGGATGTCCATCTAGGCAATCACTCTGCCCTTTGCTTTTACTTATGATATGATACCTATCACACTGAGTAGACTTGCTTTGTTTTTTTACATGCCTGCTATGTGACTCAATTCTACATTGTGAGGGCCTTGTGGGCAGAGATAGTGTTTTCTGAATTAGCTGAATTTGCCTAGCAATTTGTCTCACAAAGAGTTAGTGATCAATACATTTCTTATATGAATGAATGGCTATTAATCATAATAATAGGTATCCCTAGAATTCTGAAAGTCTATTTATCAAGTTGTCTATAATTTTAGAGCAGGTATCTGTAAAAGAAATGCAATGACTTTGTAAAAACCACCTTATTCAAAATTATTCCTGTCTGTCCCCTGCATTCCCAATGGTATGGGTAACTGGAAATATCAAACGTTTGACTTTAGAAAGTAATTAGCTTTTTCCTCTAAACTGTGATGTGGTTCAAATAATGAGAACAGGAAAGTTCACAAGGTATGGAAGATTAAGACTAATATAGCAGCAATGTAGTCCTCACAATGCAAATAAATTGAGAAGCATTATATGTACGACTTCAAGAGCAATTCAGTTCCTTTCAATGAATCAGAAAGAACAATTTAACTCGAAGGAGAGGATTGACTGCAGATGACTTTGGAGCAGAGTATTCTCCAAAGGATAAAATGGTGACAGTTCGCAGGTGAATTCTTGGACCTTAGCTTTTAATGAAGAGGATCATAGGGAGATTGCCAGTTCTATGTCGTTGTGGGGTATGGAAAATTGATGGTGTTAAATCCAACAGTGGTTGTATTACAGCTATTTTGCCAAATTGACACAATAAATCTAGATAAATCACCACGTGGAAGGCAGCTGAATGAGAGCTTTGCAGTAACTCAAGGGTGAAATTAGGCTACTGGAATCAATTGTTATGCAAGCTACTATGCCAGATTGCAAATGTGACCCTTGTCATGAAGAAGGATTCAGGGGCATACAGGGATTTAGGTCATGGTAAGCACACCAGGGCTGGGTGAGTACAGATCTTATCCACCCTAAGTATTGGAAAAAATTTAAAGAAGTTTAAGGAGTGAGTGGAAATGATCAACTCTTCAACAGAGAATTGGGGCATCAAAGACTTAAATACATATAGATCTTTTTAAAAGAACATTTTAAGTAGATATACAGGATGAAAACAATAGGGGAGAAAGAGGCCCTTTCTAAAGGCCTTCGACCAGGTTCCATACTAAAGCCCATTGCTTAAGCAAAGTCATCTTGGGATGGGGCTTCCATTTTGTTGTGAAAAAAGAATTGGCATTGACATAGGAAGCAAGGAGTAGGGAGAAGCTGGTATACCCCACACAAATAAATGTAAAAGCTATGTTCATCAGGAATTGTCATTAGTTGGGATCAGTTTGACTTATGAACAGTCAGTGAAATCTGTTAAGTGTTAGGAAGTAGAAAGACAAGCTCATGAAGATGAATGCTGAGAAGCTACCAGGAGTCTTGTGCAAATGAGCAGGAAATAGCATATTGTTTCAAAGTGAGCATATCCACGGCAATGCCTTTAAATGTCTGGCAGTAAACCGTACCCCCGGAATGCTGGCTGTCAGTCACAACTCAAGAAGCAGACCTGCCAGTGTGTGCTAACAATGAAAACATAGGTGAGCCGGGCTTGGTGGCTCAGCCTGTCATCCCGCGCCTTTGGGAGGCTGAGGTGAGTGGATTGCCTGAGCCCGCGGGTTCGAGACCCGCCTGGGCAGCAAGACCTCATCTCTACAGTAAATAAAAAAATCAGCCGGGCGTGGTAGCACATGCCTGTAATTCCGGCTACTCGGAAGGCTGAGGCAGAAGGATCGCTGGAGCCCAGCAGGTTGAGGCTGCGGTGGCCGGGAGCGGCCACTGTACTCCAGTCTGGGCGACAGAATGAGACTCCAACTCAAAAAAAAAAAAAAAAAAAAAAGAAAACATAGGTGGTCTCTAATGCTGCAGGTCAAGCAGCCTGGGAGTGGGGCAGCACCAGGAGGAGTAGAGATAAAGTCTACACTTTCCTCCTGCTTTTATGAAAAGCCATGGAAGTATACCTTCAGTTTTATATGCAGTTCCGATGGCCACCCCAAAAAGACACAACGGAGTCAGACATGTTTGGGTGACTGGATGCATCATGGTGCACATATTAGAATCAGATTTTTAGGGATGGAATGGGCCTCCAGAGTCTCTAATTGATGACATGACCATATCAACTTTTCTTGGTCAATTACAGATGCTAGTGCAGTTGATTTTTTAGTGGAAAAGGCACAGTAAAAGCTGAAAAAGTTACCATTAGCATATAATTTTAAATTAACAGAATAATTTTATTTTTATAACAAAATGACAGAATCACTCCCTTTCAATGTAGAGAGAGAACCCAATGCATAATACATACTTTACTTATTTTTTCTACTATTGTCTTTTGGCATAATGGAATATATTCTGTTTTTAAGCTGATTATCCTGGAGCTTTTGCCTGTACAAACTATACTTTCTTGATCTAGCTTGGCATGTAAATGTACCAAATTAAATTGTATACTGGCATTTAATTAACACCAAAAATTATTTAAGAAAACCAAGTTAACACATGCAAATCATTAAAAGTATAAACTGAAGTCTTCATAAATCAATGTCTTAAAAAATCTTTTATTTCCCTTTACATTTTGTTTTCTCACTCTGATA